ATTCTAGTACGTAAATCTTTTAGATCAGTGAGTTATTGACCCCGATACATGATGTGGTGTAGGGGGAGAAAATTGAATTATGTTAGTTTTACTTGGATTGTATACGCTATCGCTGGTTAAGATTTTAGAAAATTCAATGTAAAAATTGTTTTGTGATGTGTTTTTTATAAGGACTGCGATTTTCGTTTTCGTTTAGTCAGTTTGCCACTCAAACAAATTTACTTCGCACAACTATCAAAAGTGAATATCTTTTATGTTCAACCAGAGCGTGTTTATAAGGGCCCCCTGGAGCAAAAGAAAAGATGAGATACGCTGGGAACGAGGTTGCTTCGTGACTGCATATACCGAGATTACCTTTCTTGCCCAAGGTTTTCAATTCTTCGCTTATAAAACCTACCGATGGGTTTATTTCCCTTTCCTTTCTTCTCGGCTGTCTCTGTTTTGAAATAAAGAGCCGATACCGCGCCTGCCTTTGTAATTGAATGGGATAAAAGGATGTGGGTCAAGGGGTCCTAGGTTCTAGTGTGCTCAGAGCTCCTTTTATCGCCAATACCGTAACGTGAGACTGTTATTTCAATTCATGGTACGCCATGGCTGAAAGCAAGAACTCTTTAGATGATAGAAAGGAGGAACTACAATGCCCTGTACACCAAGAACAATTCAGCGAGAACAACGGAAAAACAGTAAAAAATCAATCATGCATTAAGGGCTCTATGTAGTAACTACTGGACTTCTCGACCTTCGCGGCTATCAGGCAAATAAGCAGTACGATGTTTACCACTGTACCAAAACGTGAAATAAAATTTTGGACGTTTGAGTGAGATTAAGTGTTAATTTGGCTGAGATTTTTATGTGCTAATTAATCAAGGGTGAGCACTTTCAAATTGGGTGGGAGGGGAGCACTAATCAAAGGTGACCTTAATCAGGTAGAGCGCGGGAGGGGCGCTAATCATGGGGTAGTGCTTAACCAGGGATGAGGCGGCGAGGAAGTCAATTAAAGGCGAGGGGAGGAGGTGCTAACCAAGAGGAAGCCCTTAATTGGTTGGGGGGGGGGTGTCTCATACTAGTTTGATTGAGTTAATAATAACAGCTGGGATTAGGACAAACTTGCTCTAAAATGAAATTATAGGTATTGTGTCACTTTTGGTGATCAGAAGGTTTTTTAAGCTGTTGATAAAAAATGCCATAATTTTTGTTTGAGAAAAAGTTGCGGAGACATGAAGGAGGAAATTTCCATTGAAGTAGAATTAAAAAGTTTTGACAGTCTCATATACACTACAAAGGTCAAGAGGCAGCTCTTGAGTATGAAGTACACTCCCCCCGCCCCACTCCCTCTCTGACATCATTCCTAGACAGAAACAACCATTGAAAAGAAATGAATAAATTAAGGGCTGCTAGATCCAAAAGCAATAAGTATCACTATGTTTTGAACTTTTAGGTATGAGAGGATTTTGGCTTTTTAAATCTCAATTGGAAATTGTAGATTGAAAATACTGGTGACACATAAGGCACCCATCATAAACCAAATAATCTAACACTTTCTTTACATATCTTGCTGGCTGCCAACTTTACCTTTCATGCATTTGAAATCCAAGACAGACTACTATGGCAACAACAACAACAACCGTGCATGTTATTATTCAATAGCATTTTAAAAGGAAAGCACTGAAGCTTGAATGAGATTTTTAAACAAGGTGTAATTAAAATTTAACAATCCATTTCAAGGGTCTTCCACTAAAAAAAAAAGTTTAAGGTCTCATTTGAGCTTTGTTAGCAGCGATAACAATAACAGTTTCAGCAGCAGTAACCTTGTTTTGTACAAATACAAGGGAGCCTTGACTTAGGAAAGCTAGTGTGAGTTACATGTAGCTCTGCAAATCCTTAAACATATCATATAAATTCAAAATAGGTAATAAATAAGTAATGAATTAATCTAGCACTTATGATTATAGAAATTTAAAAATAAAGAAGCATTTACAAACTTTGACAAAAATGAGAAGGTAGTACAGCAACTGAACAACAGAACTAGAAACAATAAAAGGGAAAAAAGAGGGAAAAATAGAAATTTAATTCGAATTTAATGTAAGAACAGAATGATTGACTTCAGTGACTGATTGTGATTGTGACTGATGGTTTGTGCCCACGTGATGCAAAAAAAGAACACCAGCAAAGACTGTGATAGAAGAGATAATAAAAAAGACTACCACAATAGACATAATAATGAAAAAGAATCATCAAGAAAATGTGATTAAGTACTCTGGGTAGAACTGTCCCTCGTAGAAAATAACAAAAATATTCGGGTCAGGGATCTGATTCACCACACAGTCAAAGGATTCTTTGGAATCACTTTGGTTCTTCTTTGGAGGAGTAACCATGCCTTGTCGGCCAACTGTGTATTCACCAACCAGGACTCTGCTGAGGTACATGTATCGGTGTCCATCACTGTCTGGTGGAGAGAAAGAGGACTGGGCTGGGTGAAGGGCATCCTTGACAAAGTACAAGCCATTTCCATACATGTCTGTTGGTGCTGAAAGAATTGTAAAGGTTAAACTGGGGCACTGTTTGAGTTAATGTTGTAAAGCCAAACCAAAGTAAGCACAACGGCCCGACACAGTAAAGGAACAGCGCGTGGAACCAATCAGTTCTTGAAGTAAAAAACAAGCAAATTATCCCAGGAGCAGGGAACGTGACAGACCAAATTACTTAGCACAACTTTTCTAAACCAATCATAGAGAGAGAATAAGAAACACCTATACAATTCTGAGTTACCATTGATACATAAGTGAAAATGGTATGATTATTAACATTTCAAATCAAATTAATATTTAGACTCAAACTAAAGTTGCATTTGGTGCTTCAAAAAATTCTGAGGATTGATTTGTTTCTATATGTAAACACACAATATATGTGCAAACTAGCAGAGGGAAAAAAATCCATATTTCATACCATTTTTGTTTTGGAAAACACAAAAACCCGTTTCATTTATTTGTTGGCATTTGCTTCCCGGGATCCCTAGGAATAGTCGCTTTTCATTGCTTCCTTTCAACTCATCCATTTTTTTCTTTCGCATAGCATATGTCCTGTAGAGAGCTGGATTTTGAACTCGTGAAATTCTCAAGATCATAATTTTGCTGTGACATGTTTTTTGAGCATGATTCTGAACTTCTTGGTATTCCTGTGCATTGTTCACAGGATCCAGCTCAACGAGATGAACGGTAAGTTCTCCACCCCGTACGTTTTTCGGCTGAGGGATCCAGTAGCTTGGTAAAATAACATCTAAAAAGGAATTATAAAAACATTGTTTAGACTTTTCATATTTTAACCAAATTGTGGTATACACGCTCGAGGTTTGGAGTACGTTTCAATGACATAAAAACTTTCATTCATTGTCGAGGCAGTGAACCACAATGGGCTAAAATTAATATGTCAGTTGGTCCTCTTTTGCATGATGAGACCACAGGGGGCCCATACAATCTGTTTGTGTAGCCAATTGTTATTTTATAGTGAATGTACCAGATTTACTGTTTGCCTCACCTATAGCGATATATTGCTGACTATGTATATAAATCAATGAGAAATAAATGTTGAATTACCTTACCTGTGGTGTATAGTCGTCCTTTTGCTTCAAAAATGATTTTACAAGTTACATTAACAACGAACTCGAACGTGTTCAAAATCACTCAAACAATCATTTTTGAGGCAAAAGGACGACTATACACCACAGGTATGGTAATTCAGTGTTTATTTCTCGTTGATTTATATACATAGTCAGCAATATATAGCTAAAGGTGAGGCAAACGGTAAATCTGGTACATTCACTATAAACTAACAATCGGCTATACAAACAGATCGTATGGGCTCCCAGTGATGAGACCCAACAACTGCAGGAAATAAAAACTTACCCTGGAAAGCACAAATTTGAATCACATTTAGCTCCCATACTATCATTTATTCAATTGCAGCTCATCTGCGAGGATCAAAGCTTTACTTAAACTGCATGTCAAAAAAACAAATGTATTTGTCACTTAAATGAGAAAGAAAAATCATTCATCTGTATTTCTAGCAGGTCCCTACACAAGGTCACGCGCGTGTAACGCATGGAACTGCTGCTAGGGTTTAAACCCTTAGAGTTGACGTGGCAAATTCTCTAAAGTGTATTGGGCCAACTGAAATTATATTCTTACCATGAAATTTGCTGAAAACTGGCTTCGGTTTTGGGGCTACAACCAACTGAAAGGGACTTCCATTTATTGTATCGTCCCTTTATTTTGATTGATATCTTGAAGTCTCCAACAGCTCTTGGCGTGTAAGATACACAATAACGGCCATCTTTTAAGTCCTTTACGAGAGCTGGAATATTTTTGGTTCCCTGTTCTACGGATGTGATCTCCACCGTGACGTTGTCAATTTCACTGTAGGTTGTTTTGCCGCCTGAATCCTTCGTTGTGACCGTAAAGTAGCTTACCTCTCCTTGAATACTTTCACTTAGTCCTTGTCCTGTTCCAACAGAAAAGTAAGGCTCTGTAAAGGTTACATGTAGCACACCAAGACGGAAATCTGGAGGCAGGGTATTTAACGAATACTTGAACTCTGGATATCTGAGTAGTGGCGTAGAATTCTGAAACCTTTCCGCAATAGTTCCATCAAGCTGATGTTTTACGTCTAACATTTTCCTTACGTCATTTGTTTGTAAAACTTCTCTACCATGTCTTGTGCTCTTGTACATTAGTCGGAGCTTTTCGACGAGCTTCGACAACTCATTTTTTATGGCCTCATCGTAGAGTGACTTTTCTTTTGCCAACTTTTCTGTCATCATTTCTTCCTGTTGACGAAGAACATTTATAATACCTTCCGTCACGCTATGAACTTCTTCCGCCACTTTATCGATGCTATTATTGTATTTCGCTTTTCTTTCACTTAAAGACTCAAAATGGTTCTTCAGAAGAAAAGAATTCTCCTCAATATCTCTCAAGCTACTTTGGATAATCCCTCTCTGCTTCTTTGCTCCATCTTCAAGCGACATGATGTTGTGATCTATCGGATCTCTATGATCCGTAATGGCGCATTCTGAGCAAATGCAGATTTCGCACGGTTCACAGTAGAACTTTATGAGTACTTCATGTCGTTTACAAACGTTTTGTTCCTTTGATTTGAGATTAAGTCCTTTATCCGAATCACCATGAGCTTTCAAGATATCTCCCAGTCTCTTGTGTGCAAGGTTGGACGGTAAGCGGTCAATGTTGTTGTTGGGACATTCGGTTTGAACTCGACAGTTTGGGCAGCTCAAACCTTTCCCAGCAATCTGCTGTCGCAACCAGCGCTGGAGACAAGACTTACAGAAAGTATGTTGACATACAAGAACTTTTGGTTGATTGGTCTCAGTAAATTGCTCCTGGCAGAGGGAGCATTCCAATTCTTTCTTGATAGCATCATAAAGAAAGTTCTCACATCCAGCCATTAATTCCCTCCGAGACAATAGTCTCTGGCTGTCGTGTAAAGGCTGTTTTTCTCAGAAAAGCGGAAGTTGTTCGTTTTGCCACGCTTACTGGTACCAAGGACCCTTCGGTCTCATTCTATTATAGAGCAACTTCTCCAGAGAAGTGACGGTTCTTCAATATTCTATCGTGTTTGGACGGAAGCTTGGAAATCAAAGAAACTTGTGTAGCTCGGATTGGCATTCTACTATTCTCAGCCGCTCATTATTACTGTTCGCCACAACGGAAGTGGTGTCTGTTCAGCTCAAGACATTCAGAGCGGGTGGGTTAGCGCCGTTTCCGAGAAATCCGACACACTGCTACCTACAATTTCCAGTACCTGAAGGTTATAGTTGCTCTGTACAGAGATGGACACACGTCAAGGTAAACACGATAGAAAAAGTGATATTCAGCTAAATACAGTTGTCTAATCAAAAGATACTTAATGAATTTGTTTTCATGATCCAGGAGAGATTTCAGACCGTAAGAATATTCACAAATGCAGTGTTTATTGCGGGAGAACGAACTTACAGGAACTTGGCCGAGTGTAGATACTATTATTTGCCTCTGATGTACCAAAAAATTCTTAAAATCTATCCCTGTTCAGTGTTGTTGTGCACCTTACTAGTGTTTATTGCTGGTCTAATTTTAAAAAAAATTKTCTGTTTTGCCATTTGCTTTCGCTTTTAATTTGAACAGGAAACAAAAACAATATTGATGATCTGAATTGACGTAACTGTGTTAGCCTATTAAATCTAAGCGCAAACCAGAGCCTGACGGGTAAAACGAAAATTTCTTTTAAGTACAGACCTCTCAACGCTGTAGATCTTATTTCATACAATACTTTCTGCTACATAGTTTCAGTAACAACCTGGTGTTTGCAATAGAGACATTGAATAGTTATAAATTCAGCCGGTATTCTGTCCATGCACCAGGGTGGGCTGTACTGATGCAGTTCGACAACATGGTAGTCGTTGTCTACAACAGTTCTTAATTCTTTACTCTCATGATTCTTATCCTTAGTGCCTTTTTCTGTTATGGTTTTCCACCATTAATAGGTAATTCCTGTCATAGGGACAAACTGAATTCTCTTCTCAATACTGCAAATTGTGGAAGCAAATGTTGATATCAATGTCTTACATTACTTTATAATGACTATTCCAGGAGTAAACAGGAGTAAATTCCTCATTTAGCTGTATTTATCTGCAGACCTATCGTTTAATCATTAATCTAAGCCAGTTTCAGTTACTTCGACCTCCTTACTGTACCAGCCATGGTGAACTTTTAACTAAAGGTTTTTAATTCAGTTGATGATTATCCTGTAATTCTGGATTGGTGATACCACTTGTTATAGTATAACCAATACCCCTAGCTAGTGGTCCTCTGCATAATATGCTATTCCTGGGCAAATGTATAACAAATAGTTCATCAAATGTGAGAAAATGTTAGGAAATTAAGTTAATTGGTGGCTGCAGCACTTCAGTCTCTTATGCGTTATATTATTTTTCCAGACTATATGTACCAGCTGTAGATAGCCTATATTATATTTATATTCTTGGTAGATAGGCAGATTTGTGCAATGAATAGGAATTGTTAGTAGTTTAAGTGTCCACCAATAATTGATTGACATTTTGTGTATATATATATACTTGCTGGATGCAGAGGTCGGCTGGTAACCAATTGTCGTCTTGACTAAGATTTACAGGTACAGATATTTATTTCCAAGATATTTTCAAGTTCACCAATACTTCACTGATGCTTGCCTGATACTGCTGATGATATTTGGCTGTCACTTTTTATATTGCTTTGCATCCTTCAATTGACAATGAATGACTTAATTACCCTTGTGGTCGTATGCTTTGTCCCTTTGTCCTAAGACGAAGACAAGAGTATATATAATCTTGATGTTCAAGGGAAACAAAGCTCACTATTTCTTTTATGGCCATTCATTTAATGTTTTGTAAGTTATACCTCCCAACTCAAAATTAGAGCAAATTTAGAGTTATGGAAATTTTTTATGAAATTATTTCCTTAACATGGGCTGGCACACAAGTTTGATATCTAATGGTTTAATTGAGGCACATGATCAGTGGCTGATTACGAGTGAGTGAAAGTTTAGTCATCATTTTGCAATAGAGTTAGTAATACTTCTTTTGCACTGAAAGTTAAGTATTTAAATTTAATTGTGAGGTTTGACCCATAGAATATGACATGATCTCCTCCAATTGATAACAATTATTTGATTGGGTCAGGTATATATACAAAAAATTTGATATTCATGCATACTTGATGCAATGTTTTTCTTTTTGTGAGACAGACATGGGTTACTTGCAATGACAGGTGAAGGATTGTGGGAGTTATTTGAAAACTAAAAATTGATCATGAGCAGGCAGAATTAAGTTCTAGCAACTGCAGGTTGACAGCAGTCCACTCAGAATGATCTGCATGTGTATACAGTCATGTGAGCATGCAATTTTCTATTCTTGCTGGTAGCTGTTATTAGTTTGTCCCCCACCCTAAACCTCTTCTGCTACACCCATAGCCAGTGGCTGTGTTAGATTTTTTCAAGCATTACAGCAGAATTGCAGGAGTCACTAGTAGGCGGCAGTACTTTCTCCTTTTCTTGCCAATGTAGATTCCTTCCAGGTCTATTTCCAAAACTTCCACAGCAAGATCACTCAGCAATTAATCCTATATATACACAGCATCCTTGTAAAGCAGCTTTATTGATTTTATTACTAGTAGTTAGTCTTTTCCTAGTGTAGTTAGCATTTTTTATCCTTTGAGAAATTGTACTTAAATGGAAAACCTTTGTTTAAAAAAAGTTGTTACTTAGTACTTTAACTTCCAGACATCTTCATACAGGTATGAATGTGAAGAATGAACATTTTTCATGGGTGAAAATATTTTTGAGATGGTTGTTTAAGGACTGACACTAAATTTTGTCTTTAGTTGTTTCATTTTTAGTTGGGGGAAGGGGCTATGGGCTGGGGAAGGGACCACAGTATGGAAGGGTAGGTATGTGTTGTTTCCTTGGACTCAGTCTTTTTTTGGTAAAGTTTTAGACATGTACAGTGATACTGACAAATTTTAGCTATTTGGAATTGGCCAATCTGAGCAGTGCCCTCTGTATTTCTAATGATCTGTCTTAACAAAGCAGGTACTTAAAAACTGAGAGGGTTAATGCCTTGGGGGAAATGAGAGAGGGGGAGAGGATAGATAAATGGGGAAATATTAAAATAGAGGGGAGAGGAATGAAGGAGGATTAGAGTTGTGGATTTTGTGCACATACCTTCTCAATCCCCTTTATAGTCCTCTTTTCACTCTCTTCTCTGAATTTTTCTACTTCTATCAAGTAATGTAAGTTGTGGAATAGAATCACTTTTTCCAAAATTATTTAAGCATGAGTGTACTTGTATCTATTTCTTTGCTCTTTTGAATTAATTTTCCATTTTTCATTCCTCTCTTTAGGATGGACAAACATACAGCACAGATGTCCTATATGCCTTGACAGCATGGTTAAACCCCAAACTATCAAGTGTGGTCATGTATTTTGCCAAGATTGTTTGAGTCAAGCTCTGAAGATATTAAATGTTTGCCCCATTTGTAAGGAGCCACAAGGAATCGTGACAGGTAATCAACCACCAGGGCATATGGCTTGGTCCACTCTGCATTCCAGTCTCCCAGGTTACTATGGTATGTTGTATAATTTTTTATATTGCAGTTAATTTTTGCTTTTAATTAATTATATTTTTTATCTAGGTAAATGTTTCTTTTCTGGGTAAAGTGTTTCTCCCTAGGTACATATTAAGTTACATTGTTTTAAGGTAGGAGACCTGTGCGTTTTGGTCAGGATGACTTACCATATAACAAATTTATTTTGCATTTGGGGCTCAGCGTTACAGTTGTAAGGCTAGGTTTAGGTTTAGGGTTAGGGTTAGGGTGATGTTATATACCAAATAAATTGTTTGTTATACAATTTGCTTCATTGAAATATGTATGATCCTTTAATGGATAACATACATTAAACTGAAAATCTGTTTCGGTCCATTTTTGTTTTTGTCTCTAATATTTTTCTAACTCGGTAATTTAATTATGTTTAAAGTAGCCTGAGTATGAGAGTATCTCTAATCTGAAGAAACTCAGGAAAAAACAGTTTTTGAGGCTGTTAACTAGTTGTGAAACTTAAGGAAAAAGTGTTCCCATAAGGCATTACTGAAGACTGGCTGCAGTTTTAGAAAATAGCCCAAGCTAAAAAGAATTTCGATTTGAAGGTGGTTTTTTTTTCTCATTAGGGTGTGATACCATCTGCATTCAGTATTCATTTCAATCAGGAATTCAAGGCCCAGAGCACCCAAACCCTGGTCAGCGGTACAGTGGGACGCATCGTACTGCGTATTTACCTGATAATCGCGAGGGTAGAGAAGTCTTGCAGCTGCTACACAGAGCTTTTAATGCACGATTGGTTTTTACTGTGGGAACCTCCATAACAACAGGACTATCCAATCAGATCACATGGAATGATATACATCATAAGACAAGTACAACGGGTGGTGCCCACGGGTAAGTAAGTTGAAATTTGTAACGTGTCATGCAAGATGGGGTGCTTTTTTCACCGAGAGGTTTCGCGCACGATTATTGTTGATCGTTGTTCTTTTTCATGGGCAGAATGCCTCTGTTCCAAGAGTGCAATCCTTTGAAAAAGTGCCAAAAAATAATTTAACTGTGTTATATTAAGAGGTAAGTAAACGATGCATCTGAATGGTCTTTGTCGACTCATTTTTTGCAGGTTTGGTTATCCCGATCCACACTATCTCCAACGTGTTAAGGAAGACCTCGCCGCGAAAGGGATCCGATGATCTTCAGCAGTCGATCGCTTACATTAATACAAATTGAAACCAGTACACTGTACCTGTTTCAGGCTTTTTTAGAACGAAGACATGGCTTGACAACTGCAATAACAATTCTTGGAAATTTGCAAAGTCTACTGTAAAAATTTTTCCAGTTAAAATCTTTGTTTATCTGAGTTTTTCTGCTTCCTTGCAGGGTCATTTTACATGAACAGCCTTTCTTTGAGAGAGAGAGAGAGAGAGAGAGAGAGGGGGGTAGAGGGGTGGAGGATGCTAGGGGAATCATGGTTTTTAGAGGGAACAGATGGGGAATCAGTCGTTAGCAACAGAGTATGAAAGGGGGGCTTAAGAAAATAAGGGGAAAGAATATCAAAGAACCTTATGGCGGGATGAGGTAAATTTTACTGTGACACAACAAAAATGCTCCAATCCCCACTCCTCCCTGGCCGCCACCCCCGCGATAAATAATGACTTTTCGAATGTTCCCCAAAGGGATTGTTGCTATTGCTATTCTTTGAAAGTGCTAATAAATTTGAAGAGTACAAATAAATTTTTTTAAATTTTTTTTACAGTACTGAAGATGATTCGATTTCCTGGCGGGTTAATTGTGTGACCTGCGTTTACGAAGTCTTACAAAAAAACGGTATTTTACGTCACTGCTGACGAGAGACTGAAAAACAACGACAATTTCCTTCATTCCGAGTGATTATTTTATTATTTGACGGGAGACCGGTGTCTAACAATCGACAAGCTGTGCAGCTTACCCAAGAGACAGCTTCCTAAAGTTACATGTTACATTTAGTGCACAAAGCCATGGTCTGTCATCTTCAGCTGTAAAGTCGTCTTCCTCTCTGTCATTTTCTTTTAACTAAATGTAAGGACGTTCATGTACACCTCATTGCAAGAACGTTTTTATAGAAAAAACAAACGATAGGATGCAAAGAGAATTAGTTTTGCATTTAAATCTTTGTTGGATGAATCAACTAAATACAATCGTCAAGGCCTCACTTGAAAGCTTAGAAATATATACTTTAAGGTTTTCGCACAATTCAGCCCTTAGAAAAATGAAACAGCTGGGTACCAACACATTTTCTTTGTGAATGTGTGCCGTGGGACTACGTCTTCTTGTTTTCAAACTCTGTCACTTATCTGTCACAGTATTTTGGTTATTGCAATAAGGTGTACATGTACATAAAAAAATACGATTCAAGATGTAACCTCTATCAAATCCACACACTGTACCCATCTCTTCAATCCTGCTCTTTGGTCGCTGATGCTTTACGCATGGGAAACAAAGATAACAAACAAGCAAGCGTGCAACCAAACAAAGTAACAAACCTACTCACATTCAAAAACATAAAGCCCTAATCGCAGATTACCTGAGATTATTTTCTCTTAATGAGATGATATAACTATAGAAATACATTACACGCCACACTTTCTTTTCATTAACTCGCTTTTTTTTCCTATTTCCTAGGGGAAAAAAACAAATCTGGCCAGGGGTAACCAAAAGAAATTGCAAACGCTGTGAATATTGCTAAACAATGCAAAAATACATTGGTTATAGAAAACTCTATCATTTTCACGCAGTGTGTTATAACTGCGAGCGTGTTCTCCATTGTTACCAGTTTGCACATGAAACCAATTTTCACAAAAAGAAGCGAAGAGGGCAAAATGAGGTGTCAAAACGTAATTCTCGCAGCCTTTCGCAACTTTTCTTTTCTATCGGTAGATGCCGGTTTGTTTTTGCTCATTCTTTTCTCGATCATCTTTTTCGACTGCGAGCTTGGCTCCTCCCCCGCACTCGCCCTCCTCCCCCCTTCCCCTCCCCCTCCCCAGTCATAACGTTGCCGAACGACACCTGGGGTGGGTAGAGCTACCACAGGAGAAACGATATAGATAGGTTTCTACAGAGCCGCACAAACTCATTTTGACAGGACGACCATGCTCAACTGATTCAGGCGGGAACTGTTTGGTAACAGCTATGATTCACAAAGTTATCATTCATTTGTACTTCACCATATCATGAACATCTAAATAATTTTGTCGAGTGCTAAGGAAAGTACGAAACAAATATAGCTGTGCCGCATAAGTAGTCTTAACCATATATGGATATATATACTAAAACCAATGGAAAACGAAAGTCCTCTTTTTCTTTGCTTTTGCGCTACGCGTTTCACCGCTATTGCGACCCTCCAGGTATAGTAGCAAAGTGTGTTTATTGACTTATTATGTCACAGATCTAACTGTAATTACAATAACAAAGGCTATTGTAATTCGAAGCACGCGCGAGCAATTAGCGTAATTTCAAATCATTCAGAAAGGGTTTATAGTTCGAAATAAAAAATCTTTCTTTGTTCTTTCTCATGACCTCGGAAGGGTCGAGAATCTTGTAAAACGGAAAGATAGTGAACTGAGGGGTCAATCCCGCAGCACATTCATCAATATTAGCATATGCCTGAAGAGCCGCAACAGCAGTGAAACGCGTAGCGCAAAAGCAAAGAAAAAGAGGACTTTCGTTTTTTATTGGTTTTAGTATCTTTATTCGACACGGAAGTTTAAGTTTCTTTACATATATTTATATATATGAATATATGCCATTCTTAATATAATAAATCTGTTAGTGACGAAGCTTGTTCCGCTTATTTGGCTGGTCAAGATAGCTATCGAATATATGATATATGTATATATATGCGTTAATGACCGAGCATGAGGTCAAGATAACTGGACATTAGCCTCGCTATTTCTTGGTCTTTTTTTTATGGACCTTGACTTTGTCTCAGTCCTTAAAAAGCAAACAAATAACTCGGCCAATATTCAGCTATCTTGACCAGCCAAATAGACGGAACAAGCTTCGTCACTAACAGATTTATTATATTAAGGGTGACTTGTTTACCTCGAGAGCCGGGAAAGAAAGCGAAAAAACACAACAAACAACTGTGTTCGTAGCACAATGAAGTCACGAGAGTCCATCATGTTTTCTTTGTTTGGACTATCTTCGGCCGCTTTTTGCGTCTCCATCGCTGACATTGTTCAAGAATGACGAACTTAATACCGATAAAATCTTTTCATGTGCGAGATCAAAGTGGGGAATCCCGTACGGGCAAGATGGGTCCATCTTGACTCAGGAAGCCAATCAGAACACAGAATTCGCTTTATTTTGCCCACAGGCGCTGCCAGCGACGTAATAAGGTACGCCGCATGATTTCTTTTTCCGTGCACGATCTATAATGGATCACGATTAGCTGATACGCAAAAAATTCCGAGTCTAAATTAAGTCCGCTCAATATCATGAACAACCAATTGCAACCAGACAAAAAAACAACAAGACGAAGAGGGGAAACAAACATAAAGAACTTCGTTATCCGAGCGCGATCTATGATGGATCGCCAAAACTTAAAGTATTCATAGAGTCGGCTAACTTTTACGACGAAAACCGGTCAAACAAAAAAACAAATTAAAACAAAAGAGCGAAGAAAAGTAGAAAACAAACACAAATACAATAAAACAAACTATAACACTGACAATCTAACGATGTCTATCCATTAAACTTTTTAAACTTTTGGCCTAGTATGTTAGTGTTGTTGTTTCCTAGCTATTTAAAGAAGCACATGTTGCGTTAACATTAAACAGCGCAGAATACCTTGAGCGAGTCAGCGAAAGGTAATCAAGTACTCTGGATAGCACTGCCAGTCATAGAACACAACAAAGATTTTCGGGTTGGGGATTTGATCAACCACGCTATCAAAGGTGTCGGTTGGATCATTTGGATTCTTTGCTGGGGGCGTGAGGAGACCTTGGTTTCCTTGTGTATACTCACCAACCAAGACTCTGCTATAATACATGTACCTCTGACCACTGGGGTCTGATGGTGAATAGGTGGACCGAGCTGAGTATGAGGCATCTTCAGCAAAATAAACGCCATTTCCGTACATGGTTGCTGAAATGTCGAGCGAGAGTTTCATAATTCGCACATTATAGGGTTCGAGACCCAGCACTTTTGGTTAAAGGAGCGAAGTTGGAGATACGAAGTTTCTTAATGACAACATAATCATCATATCCCCGTGTGGCATTAGGAAATTTGCGGGATCGAGTTCTATCTGGCAGATCAGGGCTGATGCTTCGGTTTTTGCCCATCTAAATGAGTTAATTTTCTGGTTTTTACGTGTGAAGTCAAATCGCAGAAAATTCTACAGTTGATAGTTCAGTAGTTCCATGTCTTCCCCATTGAAGCTCTGATGAAAAATTTGAATTCATTTCAAGGATAAGGCTTCCATCTCTTTCACTCCGTAGCATATAAGAAGATGCGAATTGTCTTCAAATTCTTACTTTCCCTTTTTTCTTTAAAATTGAAGATAATTTACTCACCATTTTTACCATGAAAGCTTCTGTTGAAACCTGTGTGATTTATTAATTTGCAGTTATCACCCGGAGTGCCATGAAATAACCACTGCTCGTTGCTACCCTTCGTCTCATCCATCTTCTGTTTTCGGATTATATACGAGCCAAAGAGAGCTGGATTTTGGACTCGCTCTATCTTCACAATTTGGTTGGGACAGGTTTGCTTGAATCGGTCCTGAACAGTTTCGTACTGCTGTGTGTCTTTCGCAGGATCCAACTCCACAAGATGTACAGTTATTTCTAAGCCCTGTGAGTCTTTTGGTTGTGGAATCCAGTAAGTAGGTAGCAGGACCCCTTGTAGAAAGAAAATGATTATGGCATGGGTTAGTGTATTGCCATCCTTGGAGAGGAATAGAAGAAATTCTTAATTCGGGTTAGGTCTTTCCAAGGGTTCCAAAATGCTAGCCTCTGGAAAATTTCTCTCCTTTGTAAGGATTTTTAACTTTTTATAGCTTCCTGAATTTAAGCAGAAAAATATTTCAGCATTAATAAATATTATTTTACATATGTTACAAACAAACATGTTGTTGTTTAAAAGACAACCAGTTTCGTTTAGATCTGAATGCAAACTAACGTGAAAGTTTACCAATGACTTTGTAATAACACTAATGATGTCCATAAATAAATAAAATAAAAATAAATATGTAAATTGAAGCTCCCCCTCAGGGGCTTATCAGCCACAATGTAAAATAACTAAGTGCTCAAAAATCCCCATTGGCAGGAGGCAGACCAGTGGGCTATTTACAGAGCGCAGCCGAGGAGTTGAACTAGGGGCAACCGAGAACAAATCCACTAAGTGGCAGGGTGGAGGTTTTGAACCCAAGACACCGGATTACAAGTCCAGCACCCTAACCACTCGGCCATCTTTGGTAATCTAGATCTGCATCATTAATGTGATAATGAATGTCGACTTGCCTCTGCAATGGAGTTGCATATCAATACCGGTATAACACAGTAATAGATTTCTATCGAAAGATAAAGTCGGATTCATGGGTAAGCTCTGATGCCCCCTTGCTTGTCTAATTTAGAACCAAATTTTAATTAGTCTTACCCTTTCGCAGATCGATTCTCTGGACTGGAGTGGCAACGCCAAGTGGATCGGTCATTGTCATTGAGCCGAAATCGATTCGGAAATCTTCGTTCTCTTCAGTAGTTATGGTTATCCTGGTTTTCTTCTCATGATAGGCAGCTTCGATCTTTGCATTTATGAGGCTTCCAAATTCCACAAAGTTAGCGCCATCATGGCACTTCCATCTAATATCGTTTAACAAGGCCTCAGCTCGCTTACGTTCGTGTTCTTCTTCTTTCACTTTGTGTAAAATCGTATGGATCTCACCTGTGACGTTAAGGAGGTCTGAAGGCTGCCCACGAATCACAATGCGCCCTACAAGTTTCTCGACAGAAACTGAAACATCATGTATTTGCTCAAGGGTGTGAATCTTGCGGAGATTATCCTTAAAAAGCATCGAGACAGCTTCATGCTCAATAGTTTTGGTCGTTGAGTTCTCTGTCATAATTTCGTTTATGCGGCGAGTTGCTCTTTGAATGTCCTCCATACAACCAGCAAAGATTGCAAGGTGGAGAATTTTGTTGGAGTCTTCTTGAAAGCTCTTTGTAAACTCATTGTCCTTCTCTCCGAAGCCAAGGAGACAACTAAATGTGGAGACTACTCGTTGAATAATTCCAGGTTTATCTGCAGGTGCTTGTCCAGATGCTTCTTCCATTGCCTGACGGACGTCTTTAGTCATTTCTTTTTGGAAAATAGTCATCTTAACGAGCTGCAAGGAAGCAGGCTGGTGGTTGTTAAAGTCGCAAAGTGCGGATAACATTGTCTCCGCACAGGATTTTGCTGTAACGCCAAGATTACCTGTTCCAATAACAGGAAATGAGATCGATGAAAGACCCCTTTTCTCAGCCTCTTAAAGGCACATCATTATTGCTGCTTTGATGCTTTTGTTGTTTAGAGGTTGAGTAAGGACTATGTGGAAGACAAAGCTTGCATTTAAGTTACCTGCTTTTGTAACTACAACTGATCCGGGTAATTGTGGGCCACATAACTTACACTCTCTTTGAATGGAGGCACCTCCTTTCCTGAGAATTGCTGCCCCCGCACCGCCCCCTCTCTTCAAATCTAGATCAGGATTAGATATAATGGCGATGGCATCCGTTCTCTCGTCAGTAATGTCGCCTGGTTGAGCCTGGAAGCATAGTGCTCCAAGACTTGTTTCCAAGTGATGTGGCCGTCGTTCTCGTACTTGAGAAAATGTCATGGTAGGAGAAGAAAATACTTGGACAGCCGAAGAGGGGCTATTCTCGGATTGTACTTCAATTGGGTGCGCGGCTTTCTTGACCGGAATAGGCGCGTTCTCCCTATTTCTTCTTTTTAACTCCTCTTCGAAGGCTTGGATAGTTGGATAGTCTTTGTCGTAGAGAACAAACCTGACTTCTTTAAGTGTAGTTGACGGGTTTTTTTTTATTGTGAGATGTTACCTCATCAAAATAGATTTCTGCAACCTCAGTACGGGGAAATGCAAGTATTCCTGTTCCGATGGCAGGAAATGCAATGGATGCCATTCCGGCTCTTGTCGCTTCTTCAAGGCATTTCCGGATTATCTTCTTCAAAACCTGAAAATGTAGAGGTCTCCACGGATTAGTTACTCGATACATCAATGACCACGATATCTCAAATTATAACTAATAGCAGTTAGCGCGGTGATAAGTCTCGAAAAACTCACATGTGATTTTAATGTTCGAAAGAATAACTTCCCTTTTATATTCAAACAGACGACTGCTACTTCTGTAGTTGGCGAGGACTTGTACTTTTACTAAAAGAGATTTTTCATGACAAAATGCCTTCCTTAGATACCGTAATATTGTCGAACGAAATGCACTAAATTCAGAGGGCCATGATTTGGATTTCTAAAGGAGTACTCTGTTAGCCTGTAGCTCGCTTATTCATAAAGTCTATCGGTTAGTCAGTCGATCAGCCGTTCATTCAATAAGTAGTTAATCACTCCGATTTATCTGTTCACCTATTAGTAATGTTTTGCTTATTGATTAACAGAGCAGAAATATCATGATTCAAATATACCTTTTTTCCTTTTCCACTTTCCCACTCAGAGCATACAGCAAAGAAAACTGCTTGGCATTTGAGGTTTCCTGGTTGATCGACAACGGCAATATCACCAACAGCGACATGCCCTCTGTTGTCGCATTCTCGTTGTAATGCTGGTCCTGCTCTTTGACTGAGTGCCCTCGCACAGGGGTTCTGAGACAAACTGAGATTTGATGCCGCTGTTCCAACCAAAATATCGGCCTAAACAAACAAAGGAAAAGTACCTTAGCAGTTAATTAATACAATCGTCATTACAGACGTGTGCCCTTGTCGAGATGGAATACTTCCCCTTGATGCAATGTCGGAACATCCCTTGTTTAATACAAGTGAAGCGAGTTTGTCGTAGATTTTCTATATTCATAATTTTGTTACTGCTTACCTGTTCGTCAGCCAGATAGCCGCTTTTAACTGTTACGCGAATTCCTTGGGTCACAAACGATCGTGGAGCACGCGCCGTTCTCACTTGACCAGTGCGAGCATTACCAGAGTGGCTTTCTTCGGAGCCAAAGTCAGATTTTCCAACTTTACGGGGATGAAACGTCTGTTGGTCAGAAAATCTTCTCAGTTCTCCCTCAAAAGCCTTGACAGTCTGGTCGTCTTTGTCGATGAGATGAATTTCTGACAGACGGCAGTTTGAATCCTTTTCCCAGAACGCGAGTACGGTGTCTAAGATAATCTTAGCAAAGAGATCACGTGGGAAGTCGAAAATACCACAACTGACACCTGCAATGGCCAGTGATGTAAGATGTTTTGCTTCCGCAAGAACATTAATGATCGCTTGTTTCAGGTAGCGCTCCTCTTGTGTTACTTCTACCTCTCGTCTCTTACCCTTATCCCATCTAGGCCCGACAGCATGGATAACTTGATTACAGGGCAAGCTCCCAGCGGTACTCACAAATACGTGGCCATCGAGTAGAGGACCATTCTGTTTGATGAAAGTATCACATTCATCTTTAATCTCTCTTCCGCCTTCTTTCACGATGGCATACGCGACACCCCCTATATGCTGCAATCTTTCGTTTGCGGCATTTACTATGGCGTCCACAGGATCCTTTGTAATGTCACCTTTCATCACTGAAATTGTCTTTCCGTGTTTTGTTGAAAAGCTGCAAAAAAACTCTGCAGCCATGTGTTCTTCCCTTGTGAAATCAGGCACGTTTTGGACTTCATTGTTTTCAGAAGTCAAAATAACACACTTGCTAGCATCTTCAACAGATTTCAGGATGCTTTTTCCTTTGACGTCTTCAAAAAATTTCTTCATTCCCGGTTTGTTAACTGTCATGCACTCTTTCTGAACAGCATCGATGAGATCATGAATTTCTGGTATACATTTTGCCATTCCTTCGGTGGTGCCGGAAACTTCTATCCCCATGTAATCGGAGGTTACTCTCATGTCAACATAGCAGTTAGAAAGTTCTCCTTTTACGGCTTCCAGCTTTTTTTTCCAAAATGTTGATATAAATCGTCCTGTTCCCTCTTCAACTTGAATTACTTTGTGAAATATGGTTTTCATTTCCAGAAACTTCTGCATTTGATCAGAGCATTGCTCGACATCCTCTAAAATACCACTAATCCACACGTTGCTTACAGAGGCGTCTACTGCTATTCCAACTTTCAACTCTGATGTCAGCGACGACTTAAAGTCTTTCCATTCACGGCCATTGATGACTTGGGCATTTTCAGGTTTAAGATGGATACTTTTTTCCTTGAGGGAATCCTCCAAAATAACTTTTGCTTCTTTTGCGTTCTTTTCATTAACGCCTACCACTTGGACCTCATTTGAACTTCTCCCCTGGTCGAGAAGTATTACGGCCTGAATAGATTTCTTTTCAAATAGTTCTTGTATGAATTTTGAAACGTGTTGTTGCCTCAAAACATCTATGATGCCGGTCGGTTGTTCAGTCGTTCGTTCAATTACTTTTGAAATAAATGTAACCACCTCTAGTTTGACTTCCTGGATATTTTTTCTTGGACCCTTGAAACACAGTTTTTCTCCAGTACTGTCGATATTAATACTTAAATGTCGGTGTTTATCGGAAAGTTTGTTACACAGGCCTGACATCTCGAGCAAAGTAAGTCTAGACTTAGTATAATTAGTTTCCACGACCTCAACCACAGTTTTCATCAGCTCTGAATTTTCCTTTACATCTGTGATCAGCTTCTTCAGCTTTTCCTCTTCCTTCTCTACGAGAGCCTCCTTGCCAAGAATTACTGCTTGTCTTCTGTGGTTATCAAATGAGAGCAGAAAATTGGCTGTTCCCTGTGAGGGCGTTTGACCTTGCCAGCGTTTTGAGACTTCATCATATATTTCGGAAGGAACGGGCACTTCAGACTTCTTGAAACTGAGCAGGAAATTCTTGCAACTTTCTGCTCCTTCTTCCCATGAAGGGTCGCATTTGGTTTCCGTCGGCGAAATTATAAGGATGGAGCCATCTGAGAGTTCAGCCTCTACACTGTACTTCTCGAGTGACGTTTGCAATTCAATTTTGTGATGTACCCTAATATATTGGTAAGTATCTGGATCAAACTTCATCTCCGTTGTCTTGGATGCTGCGTTTTTGAGGAAAGGGTAATAGGGCGTAACCTCTAACTCAACTCCATCAATCTTGTGCGCCTGCCTCTGACTCCTTACAATTACATCTTGAACACCTGAATGAAAAAAACCTTTCAGTATTCTTTTGGTATTGTTAACAAAAAAAAAGCATACACACAGCTACGTGTGAGTCAAATAAAAACTCAAAGCCCATATCATTTATACAGCATCCACTGCAGTATACTAATCATGAATTCTTGTCAAGACTTCTGCTGAAGACGCTTTTGTCTGCTTTTAACCTCGCTAGCTAGCTCTTCACAGATGTTGTGTGTATTGTGTTCAATGTAACTGAAGCATTGAGCAAAATCAGATCCCATGCTATTCTTCATTTTGTTTTACCAAGAAATTTTAAACTGCTCCGTTTATAATCTCTTGGTTTCGCCAATATTTCGTATTAGTACTGAAACAAGGAGATGGCGTACTTAATGACGGTTTTGTTCAAAGAAACATATTAAGATAACCAAAGGGAACAGTCATTATTTACCGCCGGTGGGGGGGGGAAGGAGTCTGAGGATTTTAGGGGGAATAACGTAGTTTTTAGGGGCAGCGAACGGGAGGGAGGTTCAGTCGTCGATGATACAGTATAAAGGGGGAACTATAATTACGTTGCATAGGTAGAATATAGCAAAATATGTATTGAAAACTAACATTTAATTTAAACAAGCTTAGAAGTCATACAGTTATAAAAGAATGCTGTTCTGCTTTATTTTGTAGATATGAATCCTCAGACGTACGCGCACTTGCAAACTCAGACAAGGAGGGCGTGGTTGAAAACCCCTTTAGCGTTTTCGTTCCGTTGGGATATTTTGAAATGTTAATATGATCGGACACATGCGTAAATGACCCTCACTTTTTCCACGATAATTTTTGGGTTGAAAAAAGAAGAGTAGCTATCTAACTTGACAGGAAAATAAAAAATATGACTCAGAAATAAATATTGATTCAGTACTGAAATTCTGTTTTTAGCTCAGAGGCTTTGAATCTTTCTAATAGTATACATGAAAAAATTACGCGGGTCTGATTGGCTGAAAACCAGTGCATTTTTCATGTAACATGGGTGCAAAGTTGTAAAATGAGTGCAACTTATAAATAGCGCGGGCGCTGTCAAAATTTTGTCTGTCTTTACTTTCTGTGATACTTTTTTTATGTACTAAGAGGTAGCAACATGATTTTTCGTGCAATTTCGTGTAAATAAGTACTTGAAAATTTTTCATATACTACAAATTGCACTCGCCCTAAGGGCTCAATTCTTTTGTACTTCTCACCACCAAATTGCACTCGAATAAACCTATGCATATTATGTCATGTCAACCCTTAAAACACAACTAACTCGTCATTTAGTATGTCCTATACCCAAGAGAAATGAACAGCTACTTACTTGTATATACGTATGATCCTCAAAAAAGACTAAAGCCTGGTCTTTTCTAATCCTTTCCACTCTGCAGACATCCTTCCCACCACTTCGTTTCTCATTGTCAAAATAAAGCTCAATGGTGTGATCAGTTGATTCTTTCTTCAGTCCCGTGACCAGAATACATGAACAGACTGCTACTCTTTCCAGCCGCGGTTTCTTTCCCTCCAAGCCTTTTTTATCTTTGTTAACTTTATGCAAGAGTGATTCAAAGTCTGAAATAGATAGTTCGTGCAGAACAATGATATTGTCACTCGTGTAATTAGCGGTGTAAAGATTTTGGTTAACACAACACACAAAATGTGAAGATCGGTGTTTTCTTAGCAACGTTAGATACCTTAGATGTATTGACCAGAACAAGGACTTGATGCAAGTAGCGAAGAAAAGTATTGTCCTAAGTACAAGCATAGTTATACAAGTATGACAACGTTTCGAAAAAAGGGTTAAGGATGTTTGAAAATGATTGACTAAGCCGTAACAACACTCTTAAGTCATTATTACACTCTAAATTTCGAGTCATAACTGATTGTTCATTCATGTTGCTTCTTTTATTTTTCATTTATACTCATACTACTCACCACTTTTTTTTTGCATATGAATCGACTTCAAAAACAAGATAGCCATGAAAATGTCATCTAGACTAAGCCTTTGTAGTCATAAAATTACCTGTTTCACTTTCAAAAACTGCCAGGGCATTATTCTTTTCACCAAGATACACCTTTTCAACCTCAACACCAGCAAACTTTTCCAGATAAAAGGACAAACAATCTATAGTGGTCGTTTCGCTGATTCCTTGAACATGAACTCTTAATGGATCAAGCGGCACTTTTTTCGGAGGAGGCTGTCGCACCACTGTTATCATTTGGCCGTCAATTTTGTGTCACCCCTCGAGAAGGCGCTGCAGGTGTGTAATAAACATCAAAGTTAAAAATATAAATGTAATCAAAATATTCAGAAACAGCGATTACGCTTAAGAACGTTTTCTTGACATTTATCATTTGCATGAGCCTTGAACTTGACTACTTTTTCTAAAGAAAGACGTGAACTTATTAATAAATCTGTCAAATTGAAGACCTTTCAAAGAAAGTGTCGTATACCTTTAACCTCAGAAAAAGTTATGATCGCTTCCCCTTTTTCGTTGAAATGGATCTCGGAGACATCGCCTCCTCCTGATCGTCTAGAATTCTCGAAGTAGAAGATCACTGCATCCTCTGAGGTGGAGGGCATGATGCCGCTGACAATAATGGTGATGCCATCTTCCTCCTCTTCGTCTTCTCCGTTTTCACCGGAGTTTACGGCACTTTCCTCCTCCTCTTCAAACAGTGAGACTTGTATACTTGCTCCGCTCAACACATGAGATGAATAATTTATCGTCCGCTCTGCATCTAAAAAAGGTTTAAACCGTTACCAAAACGTTTTAAGAATAAACCAAAACATATAATGATGTAATGATTCAGTCATCATTTATTCTTACCATCAGGAGACTCAAAGGTGACCAGGCACTTCCGAAGTTCGGGTGTCATGACTACGGAAGACACAGCACCCCCCTTAGAACGTCTGGTGTTTTCGAAGTAGTTTGTCACCAAATCCTCAGATGCATCTTCTGGCAAACCGGTAACTTCGATTGTGTATTGGAGTTTAGGAATTGGTGATCCATTCTGGGCTGATGCTGCAGAGGCAGACTCTTGAGGAGAAGGAGGTTCTTCCGAAGCGTCATCTCGCTGTCTCCTGTTGTTTTGACGAGTGTCTTGATTTTTAAACTGCTAAAACGTGAAAAGTTATGGATGATTTTTAAGGGACTTGGCACCTCTAACCTTACGAGTCATAGCATATACTGTATATGATTCATTCTTTGAGTGTCCATCAGTGCAAAAACAAAAACAAAAACAAAAAAACACAAAACTCAGTGAGAACTTCTGTGAATTGCTATGCAACAATCAGCATTAGCCATTCAATGAGCTTCCCGAATACAAAAATGCGAAGAAATGCACAAATCCACTAAAACATTACATCACAGCTACGCAGTGCTAACGTGTTTCGGAGGTATGATGCGAATTGAATTGAATTGAATTGAATTGAATTGATACATGAAACTGTAAGGTGAGCATACTGAGGTATGGGCTTACAAGGAAACTATGTTCTTCAGTGTCCATTTTAGAGTGGGTCCTCTTTTCTGGACCACCCACAGCTACTCGTCTTTTCCAGAGACAATTACTTTCGTCTGAGAGGAGAAAATGGCTCTGTAACTTTTGCCTTATTGCCTTCATTAAGGGACACTTCTACCGCATGGAACATGCACTTTGTACAAAAGTGGACTTACCTCATCCAGTGAAGTTCTCCTATTTTCCTCCAATCTGGAAGGTTTTACTTGATGCATGGGCATGCGAGTAACTTGAAGCGTGCAGTTCTTAAAAGTATGGGATCGGCTCAACACTCTGTCTGCGACTATATCAGTTCCAATTTAAAAAGATATGGTAGTTAGATTACACCTCTTGTGGATGTCATTACGATGGTACAAATAATGAATGCTCGTTAAAGCCCTAAAATGTATTTGATTTTGAAATCACTGAGGAATAATTATTTAAATTTGAACCCTTTCTCGTTCAACTTTAGCGTTTAGTATATCTTAGCTTAAAGTAAAACAATATTACTTGATTTACATGGTTTGATGCTACACTGTTTTTAAAGATTAATTCTTTAAAAACCAGAGTAGCATCAAACAATGTCTGATTGTCAGCCTGGTTGCTGCGTGAATTTAAATATATCTTACTTGATATTGGAAAGAAACACTGAGTGGAGTGTAAATGAAATACAAGGATAGGACTTGTCGTTGAGGCCTCATTTTCGTCAGGTAGTTTGGTTTTATCAACTGAGTTAATATTGTAAATCGGCCACCGTAAAGAGTTCAGAGCTTTCTAGCGTTAGCCCTTTGTCATTCGCTCTGACGAAGGGCTAACGCTCGAAATGTCAGCTTTTAGATTTTTACGGTAGCTAATTTATATCATCAACTCAGTTGATAAAACCAAATTACCTAGTTACCTCCACCGTCGCAGCACCACAGTTTCTTTAGAAAATTACTCACCTTATTCTTATCAGTTTTGAAATAGATTTTATACATTAATATTAGCAGACTGAGTGCGCCTGAGAAACATTCAAATCTAGTATCGTTGAGTATTTTTATGAGTTGAGTGTCATATTCTGACGAGCCCATAAGGCGAGTCAAAATACAAACAACGAGTAAAGACTCAAGTACAAATGTCGTGTGATACTTCTGCTTGATTCGCGCGTCATTTGTACTCTACTTAATACAGTTGGATAATAACAGTTAATCCGAAAGTTTTTATCCGATCGAGTTTATTTTTGTGGTATTCGTACTATTTCATATATCAATCATTCTTGCTTCGAACAGCGTTTTTGTTTTGGCTACTCATACTCAACACACTGTATTGATGACCAACTTTGATAAAAGACGTTGCATCTCAGTAGAAACATAAAACCGACAAGGCATTGCCTTGATGTGAAGATTATATCTCTCTCAAGATTTGAAGCAACTACTGCGTGAATATCGGGCAAAGTTATATACGACAAGGAAGTCATAACAAAGGCAATACTGTTAAGCATGCGCGCGAACACGCGTTTGAACTCGTCACAAAGTTCATTCAAATTTACGGACCTTCGCACAACCTTTTTCCCCGCTAGACTTCCAAAGGTTTATGGTAGGTCCCTTTTCCTAAAGCTCAATTCAAACAGAATTTCATGAAAAACGAGTTTTCTTTTCACTCTGGCCTAAAGCCGGCGTTGAATAAATCAGATAAATGCCACAGGAAGTTCAGTTTCGGTTTCATGTCTGTAAGCTTTTGTAAGCAGTTTTTGGTTTCATCATCTTCACTCTGAACTGAACGATAAGATTACAACCTCTGACTAAGTGAGAATATCGCACTCTGACATATTTAACTCAAAACGATCTACCTTGAGCTTCTTCGAAGGTGATTTGGTCTGTTCTACGATCAATGTCGATACTTTCGACATCTCCGCCTCCAGATTCTCGCACCGACTGGAAGTATATCATCAACGCTGTTTGGCTTGTTCCATCTGGAAAACCAGAAACCAAAATCCGTGAACTGTTCATTTCAAGTTCCTCAAGATCGAAACATGTTTCCCCATGAATCAGAAGCACATCTCTCGATCCTGTTAGAGAGACGGAATTACAATTTATTTCGAGAAACGGGGTTTTCTGAATATTAAAAAGGTTTCATTTTCAAAAGAAGCTGATTGGTCATCCGACTTAAGCTGGTTCGCTATTGGCTTGTTAAAGCTGCACCCTGTTTGTTTTGCTATTTTTCTCAGAAAAATGTTATCGTTTAGGCAAATTCTAAGAAAATGAGATTTCGGAAAGTATTGTGTTCATTGATGCAGAAAATCTGTGGCACATCAAGTGAATTATTTTAGTGTCTATCACAGAATTCGTGTAGTTTTTGCTCTCAAAGTTTCCTTCTGCATTCCAACCTTTAGATCATGCGGGGATTCCCCACATTACGTGGCAAAATTTGACAGTCTTTGTGATTTCGTGATTCCTTCTTGAAGATTCGGTAGTCTCTCAACACAGCCTTGAGGGAAAGCGATTTCCTCGCAGACTCGACTCTCTATGGCCTCTGATCTATCCATTCTCGCGGATGTTGGTTCAGACGACATTGCGAAGAGCATCTTAGTTTCGGGCTTTACTCCAGGAACCAAAGAAGAAGCTGTTGTTATTCACTTTCAGCAGCGTAAACATGGCGGCGGCGACGTGTCATCTGTGAAATTCTCGCAAAATGGAGACAATGCAGTGATTACATTTGAAGAAAAAGAAAGTAAGTTTATTTTGTTTCATTCCTTTTCGTTCTTCAGCATCATTCCTCGGGCAATTGCAAGTTTAATAGCAGAAAATGATCGCAGTTTGTGACATTTGAGAGTGAATATGTTCGTTTGATATTCAGGTGTCTGAACGAAAGAAACGCGGGAGCCTTCCTTTCGACACTCGTCCCGTGTATATATATCTATATATATTCGAAACAATCTACTAAACCCCTTGGTTATCAGCTATTTAGCTTAGGGAGTCAGTGTAGTCAGAGAGAAAACAAGTTCATCCATCAGTAATTTCACACACCAGTTTACCTAGGCAGCATTTGATATTTATCTACCGTGTAAACAATGGGTCTGAAAGAAATTCAACCGTCACACTCAACAGGAATTAATTATTAAGATGGCAAAGTAGTAAATAGGTTAGGAAAAAAGAAAACTTGTGCCTTGAAGTCACAATAAACGCGCTTTATGTTGGTTAAGGGTTGGTGAAAATGCCGTAAAAATATGTGATTAATTATGTTCATTCGGATGTTATGCTAATCATTTGAGGTCAGAAATCTTTGCAAGCCGTTGCACAGGAGGCCATCATGTGTTTCATTCTTCATTTCGTAGCTGTAGAGAAGGTTTTGAAAGGAGAACATAGGATTGGAGAAGTGTTGCTTAAAGTTGATCGGCTTCCAGACAAAAGCAAACCAACAATCAATGAGGTAGGTTGTAATGCAAATTAAATCCTTGTGTCACGCAAGGAACAACGAACGCATATCCTCTGTGAGCATGTTGCGGCATTGGGTTGGAGTGTTTTTGTCTTCCTTTTTTCTGGTTTGTCTGTCAGTTGTTTTGTTCGGTTTGTACATGGGTTTATCTTTATTTGGTTTTTGTTTTTGACAATACAAGGTTACGTCTTCACACTGCTAAAGCTGCAGTCCACATAGTTAGTACATAGTTAGTAGAGGGGACAGGTTAGGAAACCCGGAAAACTTCAAAGGGGTAACTTATTGTTATGGTTTTAGTGTGATCACGTGGTTATGACCGTGCACACGCTTTCAAGATGGCGGCTGTCTTTCGAGAAGCGTGACTTTATCAAGGACAAATTTTAAAGTATTTTATGCTTCAAACGTAGTTTAATCAAGAATTTC